GTTGCTTGGGGAATCACTGTTGAACATGACATCGTGCACATGCAGTTATGGACAAATACAGTCATACTTTCTGTGTACTAAGTAAACCAAAGGGATTCATTCTCTACAAATAAAATTATTATACTATCACAAACATTTACAGGTGCATTTTAATTAGTCTTCTACCTAAAAGCGCTTAAATAAAGACATTGCTTATTTATTTCAAATAAAAGTATCACCTCCTGTCTCTGGTATACTTAAAAACAGGACCGCCCTACCGCTTCCGACAGCTGAACGCATGCGTACCTCTGGCCACGCTATTTGTAACAGTAGAACCACTATAAACGTTACCCCCAAAATACCTATTAAATAGGAACTGTGGCTGTAGCCTCCCTATAAAATCTTTATTTGAATGCCACAGAACACTCTTTTCTACGTCAGCACTAAACACATTAATATTTGTATAATCACAAAATTTCCCAGGCCCAGCTTCAGCCTAGAGCACAAACCAGTATCACGTTATTTTTACCTTAAAACCCCAACCAACCAGAGCAGCACAGACCCTGTTTCTACCCTGACAAGCAATAAGGACTGCTATTGCTTATTATGCCTTTGACTCCAAGCATATTTTCCCAGCTGCGTTAAGCCCAATTCCGCAGCATCTTCCCACCGACGCAGCCGGTTTTGGTCCAACTGAGCAATGCGTTCAAGTGTGCATCGCCGGGGAGGGGAGGGAATCGCCAGCTCTGCCTTTTTGCAGCACGGCACAGGCGCTGTAGCCCCAGCGGACGGGAATAAGGACCTAGTTTAAAGCCGTTTTAAACCGAGTTAACCTGCTCTCAGTGAACAGTCTCTCTAAGAGAAGAAAAACGCACCGGGGAGCGGGGCTTCTCCTCCCTGCTGCTCCCACCCAGGGCTCTGCCCAGGCAGGGCCAGGGAGAGGAGATGGGGCAGAGGAGCACAAGACAGATAAAGTAGGAGCTTGCGAATTAAAGTCACTGGAAATAAGTACTAATGGTAATGCAGGGGAGCAGCATGCGCGTGCAGCAAGTAATAGTCTTTTCAACATCTTTGGAAAAAAAAAAAAAAAAAAGATAGATGTGATCACCACTTCAAAGCACTGCAGATGGCAGCATCACTTGTGTGAACGCTGACCTTTTCTTCTGGCAGCAAGGGAAATGCCAATATAAATGCTCAAAAATCATAATATTAACATTTCAGAGTCTGAGGGACTCTCATTTGAAAACAGTTTCTGCAACAGCCTTTGCATTTTTAAAAAGATATAAATCAAATTTTCTCACTAAAACAGTTTTTAAAACACAAGGGAAGCCAAAAGACAGCATTTTGGTTTTTTTTTTTTAATAGTAAACTCAATTTCCTTGTGGCATTTTAACCCAACTGCAGGGGCACTGAAAATGACCGTAGAAGCAGTAAAAATCTATTTAATTGATTTTTATTGTTCAACCTAAAGGAAATGCTTTTGTATGTAAAAATGACAGCATTACACAGCAACTGTAGGGATGTTTTGAAATTCCAGTTCAAATATCAAGCCATTAGACGTGCGTTACTGATGTGCTTTTAAGGCAGATGTAAAATTACACTGTGTCTTTAAGTTCTCTCTACACACCAAATAATGTCATTAAAAAAGCAAAACCAATTTCTGTCTATCTCGGCTTTAGCAGAAGACTAGTAATTCGGAGGAAATATGGCAAGACAGATCGTCTAGTCTTGGCCTGGTGGAAAAAAAAAAAAAAACCCCAAACCAAAAAAGCCACAAAACGTTAACAGGCCAGGAGCCAAAGCAAGCGAGTCTTCTCAGCGTAGCCAAGGTGACAGCCTAGGCTAGATAGCACTGCACCACCAGAACCGGGATGCCCAGACCTGCAGAAAGATGCCATCCGCTGAGGACGCTCAAACAGAGACCACCAAAAGGAGTACAGCGTGCAGAGACTGAAATGCAATTTTTCCAGCATAAAGCTTCCTTTCCCAGTTGTCATGCAATACGTAAAACACGCTGCTTCTGTGTTCAAATCTGTATGCTTCCCCTCCCTCAGAAACGACGTCCTCAGGCAGCCCCTTCTTTATAAGCCATCACATGAAAAGGACAAAATCATGAACTACTTAACGTGTCGCTTTTAAGTTTTCAGAAGTCTTATAAAATATTACAAATAACCAATTAATGTTACTTTTAATATTCCCGCCAGCATACAAATGCTCCTGTAAAGCTAACTGGACATTAATTAAAGAAAACCCTCCAAATTAATCCAATACACTGCTGCGATAGAAACTTAAAAATAAGACACCCTTTCCACAAATAATCCAGAATTTTGTTCCCTCCGCAATAAACCGAGGCACCTCAAACATGGTTTGCTGGAAAAATTCACCTTCTCAACTTCAGTTTGGTTCGGGGGTTTCCTTTCGTCTTCACAGTAATCCCTGACGGCAGAGAGAGGCGAAATGCGTGCAAAGGCTGGTCAGTCACACAAAACTCCCCTGAGTTACGTTGTTAACCCTAAGAAACCTTGCCTAGCCCACCAAATTTTATTCCTGAATTTGAAATAACTTAGCTGGCGGCAAAAGGCAATTCTTCTTTTGACATAAAGTACGTACTTTGAGAGCCTGTTTAAAAATTCACTTTTCCAGCACGAAAGCACTCAAAAGCTGAAGTTCCTCTATTGCCCCTCCAAAAAGATGCCTCAGCTGTACTGAAGGGAAAAGGAAACATTAGGCTGTGGATTCAAATTAGCTGTCAAGAAACACGAACATAAATCTGACTTAATAGTGTAATTTGGAAACATGTTCTGGGCCCACCCTTGGCAACACCACCATAGTTTAATTCATGTTGTAGCAATATTTAAAACAGCTCTGCAACTTTGGTTCTCCACCCAACGAAACAACAGAAAATTATGTCGTTCAATGAAAAACACCACACGTATTTAAGTGAGAGAAACCGTCTATAAACTTCTGACATTTTTCATCTTCTTTTTTTTTTTTTTTAATCCAAAAGATTTGTACAGCATTTTTTTTTAAATAACTTACAGGATCAAAAGGAAAATAAATGCATAGCTTCAAAACCTTAGAATATAACCTCCCCTTGTTGCGGGAGAGTTCAAAGTCATAAAGTGCTGCAGATATGAACACACATCAGACAAATAATCTAGTAACTAACTTATTTTTCTGGTTTATTTAACAGTATTCCAGGCTTAGAACATTAAATAAAAATCTCACAGACAATGGGTAAGACTAACAATGGCTTTGTTCTTTTTTTTTTTTTCCCT